TTAATGTATTTTTAGTGTACAAAGCTTATTTAGAATATCATGGTGTCAGATTCAGCCTGATTTTCCAATTCTCAGATACTCAATTCTTCATCCGGAATTCATTATGCAAAAGTATGAGAAGCCAGGTGGTTCAGTGGAATATTCTTGCAAGCTTCAGCTCCCTTGTAATGCCCCGTTCGAAAAACTTGAGGGTCCTATATGCAGTTCAATACGACTGGCACAGCAGGTAATATGATGCTTTTGTTTGAGTTAAAAAAACCATAATAATACCAGTCCTGTAGCCCTTTTGGCCATCACTAACATGAAACCACACTTGTTCTCTTTGTGCAGGCTGTTTGTTTGGCTGCTTGTAAGAAGCTGCATGAGATGGGTGCCTTCACAGATACGCTCTTACCTGACAGAGGAAGCGGGGAAGGGGAAAAAACTGAGCAGAATGATGAAGGTGAACCACTTCCTGGAACAGCTCGCCATAGAGAGTTTTATCCTGAAGGTGTTGCTGATATTCTACGGGTGAGAAATTTCATTCTCACTCATTTATTTCTGTGCACTTTCCAGTGCAACTAACCATTATCTTGAATTTTTTTCAATGGATTCCAACAGGGAGAATGGATTTTATCTGGCAGAGATGGCTACCAAAACTCTCAATTTATTAAGTTATATATGTATTCTGTGAACTGTGTAAACGTTGGGACTTCTAAGGACCCTTTCGTTACACAACTTTCAAATTTTGCAATTATTTTTGGCAATGAGCTGGATGCAGAGGTATGTTCCATCATATGCATAATGCATGTCCTGAAACTTGAATAAAATAGTCTAAAACTGTAACATAAGCACTTGTTCTTTTCTTTTCAGGTTTTATCGACGACGATGGATCTCTTTGTTGCAAGGACAATGATAACAAAGGCATCTCTCGTATTCCGTGGACGAATTGAAATTACAGAAAGTCAGGTTGACCTTCTTGGCAAATGAAGAACTTCCATTTTCATGGTTTTACATTAATGTAGCTAATACCTAATATTGTGATTCCAGCTGGTGTTGCTGAAGAGCTTTCATGTTAGGCTCATGAGCATAGTACTTGATGTTGATGTTGATCCCTCAACTACACCTTGGGATCCCGCAAAAGCATACCTCTTTGTCCCTGTAGGAGCTGAGAAGTGTACAGATCCTTTAAGAGAGATTGATTGGACTTTGGTTAACAACATTGTTAACACTGATGCCTGGAACAATCCACTTCAGAGGGCACGCCCAGATGTCTATCTAGGCACCAATGAACGAACACTTGGTGGGGATAGGAGGGAATACGGGTTTGGGAAATTGCGCCATGGGACTGCTTTTGGACAAAAGGCCCATCCTACTTATGGTATTAGGGGAGCTATTGCTGAATTTGACATTGTGAAAGCATCTGGATTAGTTCCTGCTCGTGATAGAGGACATTTTAGTGATTATCAGAACCAAGGCAAGTTGTTCATGGCAGATTCATGTTGGAATGCTAAAGATCTTGCTGGAATGGTTGTCACTGCTGCCCACTCAGGGAAGAGGTTTTATGTGGACTGCATTTGCTATAACATGAATGCAGAAAATTCATTCCCTAGGAAAGAAGGCTACCTGGGGCCATTGGAGTATAGTTCATATGCTGATTACTACAAGCAGAAGTAAGATGACCTTTTATTTAATTCTGAAATCAAGGAGAGTGGCGCTTTAGTTTTTTTTACTCTTGAGTTCCCCATTTTCCTTCCCTTTTATGGCTTTACAACTTTAGAGAAATACAGCATGATTCACTGTCTTGTTCTCAGGTACGGTGTGGAGTTAATCTATAGGAAACAGCCTCTTATACGGGCCCGTGGTGTTTCATATTGCAAGAATCTTCTTTCTCCTAGATTTGAGCATTCTGACGGTAAAGTTATGCAGTCATTTTGTTTTATTATTTAATATTTCATTCTGAGCAGTGGTATATGACAATATTTTGAAGGAAAATAAACTAAAGTCTTATGTGATTATTATGCTACCATTTGTTCAACAGCTAGAGAAGGTGACTTCTCTGAGAACCTTGACAAAACATACTACGTGTATTTGCCACCTGAGTTGTGCCTTGTGCACCCACTTCCTGGATCACTAGTTCGTGGAGCTCAGAGGTTGCCCTCAATAATGAGAAGGGTGGAGAGCATGCTTCTTGCAGTTCAATTGAAGGACATAATTGATTACCCTGTTCCTGCAACTAAGGTAATCTCAGCATCCTTGACTACCCAAATGGTCATTTTTAGGAAAAGCATCTTATGTCCCCCCTGGTAGTCCCTTGCATTTTCTTACCTTTTTATAACACACCATTCTCATCTAGTGACTATGTGTTAAATAGGGCATCTAGCTTTAGTGGGTTCTGCTTGTTAGCTAGAAGACAGTAGCACATGTGACATGACTTCACACCGAATGTCAAATGTGGCATATTACCACAGGAGGCCCACAATTATCTTGAAATCTTGAATTTTGATTAGTGTTGGTAGGCAAGTGATAAACAAGGATTCACTCAGCATCCATAATTTATGTTAGTTTTGAAATAACAGGTAATCATCCTAAACTAAAGGGTGCTTGTAAGGACTATATTTCCAAAAGAATGATTAATTTTGGGAGGTTGCTGATTAACTGTATGCCATGTATCATATAGGGGGTACATGGTATTTTTAATTTTCTATCTGCTCCCTATTTTGCATTTCAGTGCCTCCCTGGAGTGCTCACCTAATATTTTCCTCTACTCTTTTTGACTCGTTGCATGTGGGCCAAAAATATAATTTTATTTTTGAAAAAAATGCTTATATATGCTTGTTGATTCATAAATTCACAAGTGCTTGTTGGGGTTCATGGCAGATACTAGAAGCCTTGACTGCTGCATCATGCCAGGAGACATTATGCTATGAAAGAGCAGAGCTGCTGGGTGATGCATACCTGAAATGGGTCGTGAGTAGATTCCTCTTCCTAAAATATCCTCAAAAGCATGAGGGACAGCTTACAAGGATGCGGCAGCAGATGGTTAGTAACATGGTCCTGTACCAATATGCTCTGAATAAAACCCTCCAATCATATATTCAAGCAGACCGGTTTGCTCCATCAAGATGGGCAGCTCCAGGAGTGCTACCTGTATTCGATGAAGAGTCTAGAGAGTATGAACCTTCCATCTTTGACGAGGAATCAACTGGTTGCGAGTTACAGAAGGAATCCTATGATGACTATGCAGATAACATGCAAGAAGATGGTGAAATTGAAGGAGACTCTAGCTGCTATCGGGTTCTGTCGAGCAAAACTTTAGCGGATGTTGTTGAGGCACTTATTGGGGTGTATTATGTAGCAGGAGGGAAAATCGCTGCAAACCACCTGATGAAATGGATTGGAATTCATGCAGAGTTGGATCCTGAAGAGATCCCACCTCCAAAGCCATATGACATTCCTGAGAGCATAATGAGAAGCATCAACTTTGACACGTTGAAAGGTGTCTTGGGTATCGAATTCCAGAATAAAGGTTTACTTGTTGAGGCCATAACACATGCATCGAGACCATCTTCTGGTGTTTCCTGTTACCAGCGTTTGGAATTTGTTGGTGATGCTGTGTTGGATCATCTCATAACCAGGCATTTGTTTTTTACATATACTGACCTACCTCCTGGCCGCTTGACTGATTTGAGAGCTGCAGCTGTTAATAATGAGAATTTTGCAAGGGTTGCAGTTAAGCATAAGCTGCATGTACATCTTCGCCATGGATCATCTGCATTAGAAACACAGGTAGGTATTTTTCTTTGTGGTGACAAACTAGACATTGTTGGTAGGTCTTGTTTGATTAGGAAGAACCTTTTTCCTCTTCTTTTCTGAAAGCAATGCTGACTCTTAATTCAATCTTCCGTAGATTCGAGAGTTTGTGAAAGATGTCCAAGAGGAGCTTTTGAAACCAGGTTTCAATTCTTTTGGGCTTGGGGATTGTAAGGCTCCTAAAGTTCTTGGTGACATTGTTGAGTCGATTGCTGGCGCGATATTCCTGGATAGTGGATATGATACCTCAGTTGTCTGGAAGGTAATCATTTCTGGACTGTTTGAAAGGGATCTTTGTTGAAGTGCTCATTCGATATAAGTTCTCTAAATAAAACTATTCTGCACCAGGTTTTTCAGCCACTCCTTCATCCAATGGTGACGCCAGAGACCCTTCCGATGCATCCAGTTAGGGAGCTCCAAGAACGCTGCCAACAGCAGGCTGAAGGCCTGGAATACAAAGCATCCCGAGCAGGCAACATAGCTACTGTTGAAGTATTTGTTGATGGTGTTCAGATCGGTGTAGCTCAGAACCCTCAGAAGAAGATGGCACAGAAGTTGGCAGCGAGGAATGCACTTGTGGTCCTGAAGGAGAAGGAAACCGCAACAAAGAAAGAAGATGAAAGGGATGGCGAGAAGAAAAATGGTGCTCAGATGTTCACCAGGCAGACCCTGAACGACATCTGCTTGAGAAGGCAGTGGCCAATGCCTCAGTACAGGTGCGTAAACGAGGGTGGCCCTGCCCATGCTAAAAGATTCGTCTATTCGGTGAGGGTGAACACTTCTGATCGTGGATGGACGGATGAATGCATTGGAGAGCCAATGCCTAGTGTGAAGAAGGCTAAAGACTCTGCTGCAGTTCTTCTCCTCGAGCTTCTGAATAGAGATTTCCCTGACAAGCCTGACGGTAAGCAGCCGTAGGCACTGTGGTTGTTATTGGTGGTGGCATTGTGGGCATTTGTGGTGTTAGGCATTCAGCATTCTTACACAAACACAAAATTAATTACCCATTCAGTGCTCCTCAGCTTTGGCTAATAAGGACATAACCAGAGCTGGTGAGTGAGAGTAGAGGATTATTTTTACCTGCGCTGGCGATTATAGTGGTGAGATGTGATAAATAGGAGCCGCGATAGAAAAAGGATAGCTTGATAGCATAGGATAGGCGCGGGGCCTCATAATTCTGTCGTGCAATGTGTAAACAAAACAATGCATTAATCCAATAAATTTATATTACCATTGCGCTGGCATGCTATGGATTTGGTGAACATCTTATTTCTCCTCTTAATTGACTCAAAATATCGAACTCTATTGGTGTTGCCGTTCAAACAAGTCTGAAAACTCCATTTAAGATGACACTAATATGGGAACATGCTATGAAAAGTTTGATGCAAAGTCCAGCAGCTGAACAAACAGGGCATCTTATGCAAACCCACGACGAAACGCCATAAAAAAAAACACGATACTGAAATGGGGGAAGAGAGGTGGTGCCAATGCAGCAGCAGGAGGGGGCTTCAGGCCGTGAGCTCCATGATGGCGCTCACAATGTCGCCGTCGTGCGCCTTGAGCGCCTTGACGGCCTTGGCCCGCGACACGCTGGCCTGCGTCATGACGAGGTCGATGTCGCGGGGCTCTATCCCTGTCTCGTCCACCTCTTCCTCCTCGTCGGCCGGCGCCGCCGCCGCCGCGTCCGGCTTGGACATCACCTTGCTCAGGTCTTGCATCCTGAACTGCTGCGCGGCCTGCGCCTGCAGCTGGGAGCTCAGGTCCTCGATCTTGGCCTCCCCGAATATGACGTACGTCTCCGACGTCGGGCTCTTGAAGACGTCAGGCTTGGACACCACGAACAGTATCTGAAACACACGGGATTCAGAGAAAACATTAATTCTGTCTTCCATTCGAATGAATAGATTGTTTGCAGCAGCTGCACAGTTTCTTACATTCTTGGCTCTCTTGATGGTAATCCTGCTGACTCCCGTGACGGGTTTCATTCCGAGCTTCATCATGGCCTTGCGGCTCTTCTTCTCGCTCCTGCTCTGCTTGGAGCCCTCGTTTCCGATTGCACCTTGTTCACCTTCAATTCAAGGTCATTTAAAACTGCAAGTCAGGCTATAAATCTTGCTATCTAGAGTAGTACATTAGTAATTGCTACAAGAACCGAAAGAGACACCATTAACGAAATCCAAGCACCCCGACGCACTAATACGTTTCTAAACAGTAGTAAAACCCAACTACCACACACGCTGCATTTCACATGGAAAGATTGCAGTATTAACGAAGACGAAACGAGAAGAAGAAGGAGAAGAGGAGGAAGAGAGTTAACCGTCTTCATCCTCATCCTCGTCGTCATCGTCGTCTTCTTCGTCGTCGTCATCATCCTTGGCATCCTCCACAACGGGGGCGTCGTCCTCCGGCTGCGCCTTGGCCGCGGCCTCGTCGGGCTTGACGGGCGGCGCGGCGCTGCTCTCCAGCTCCGCCTCGGCGGTCGCCACCGGCGCCGTTTGCTCGCTGACCATGTCGAGGAGGAGGAGGAGGAAGAGGAGACGAGCGAGGCTCGCGGTTGCAACAACGACTTGCGGTGGTGGCGCGCGCACCAGGAGGGTCGCCTCAGGATAAGGGGAGGGACCAGAGCCGAGTCCGCGCCCGCGTCCTCGCGCGGCGGCGACTTATCCCTTAACTTGCTGGGCCGCGCGGGGTGCTGGTGTCTTGGGTGCCGGACGCCAACGCAGGAGAGCACGCGGCCCATGGGTGGGTAGCCCGTCTCGTGCGGATGGAGTCGTGGCCCGCGCCGCGCGGCCGGCAAGCGAGGCATACGGCACGCGGCTCAGCGTGGTCGACGACAGGTTCAACCGTGCAACAGAGCATGATGGTGTGCGAACGGGCGCACCGCAGTCGGGTACCGGAGACCTGCATCACGAGGATTCATGCGCCAATCTCGACCGGGACAGTGTACGTGCCGAAATTTTTTCCTCTCTTTGCCTTCCTAGGCTTCTCCCTGAGTCTGAGCTTATGCACAGCACTACTAATTAGTAGGAGGAGTACCTGCGTATGGAGTGTCTCTTAGTAATATTTTGCAACACGGTGGCTGAAGGGTGATATCCACACATACATGCTTGCGTGTCGCCCAAACTCATGCACGAATATGTAGTGGAGCACTTGGGAGATCTGGAACTAATTAAGGCCGCTACCAAAAGTTATAGAACCACTATTTTTCTGTAGCTACAGCCAACATGTACACAACTATGCTGTATATACACACGTGTTGACGCATGTTTAAGTCCACGCAAAGTGCATACCGACTGCACTGCAACATAAAAAAAAATACTACATTGTTGCCGGGCGCATTAAGATGGCGAAGGAGTGTGCATCATGTGTAGCATATCTGATCGAATAGACTAAAACAACAATGTGCGACAATATGCATAATGAATTGAAAAGAAATCATCAAAAATCTCCAAACAAGTTAATGTCCTACTATAGGGCACTTCTCGCCTATCGAGCTCTTATTACTGGCTGCCCACGAGGAGATGCACTTGATAGTGCAGTGACAAGGGATGTGTGGTTTCAATGTCGAGGTCTCGTGTTCAATTTTCAATGCGCTCATAATTTCTTATCAAGAAATATTTGGAGGCACATCTCTTTCTCCAAATCTCGTTTTTTTACTAGGTGCCCGTGTCCTAGAGCGGATTGGACGGAGGGAGGTGATGGTGGTGGAGAACGACACTGGCACCATCGAGCACGAAGATGGGTTGACACTAACATATGATCCCCCTACTCCCTGCTATCAGCAGAGTTGCCTTGATCGCGTCATTAGCTCTTAACACCACGGTGGCCGATGTCTCCCTCCAACTAAGTGGCACCACGTCTCTACATTGGATCTGCTCGACATAGTGTGTAGGCGGCATCGTTGTGGTGTTGTGTCAAGAGCACGTTCCATTACCGCCAATGGCATGGGTGGCGTAGAGATGGAGCTTCTCCACACCAATAGATAAGGAGATAGGTGGAACTGGAGGAAAGTTTTTAAACTTTTTGAACCTTTTTAATTTTTAGTTTTAAAATAAATGCTTCTAAAAACTTATTCTCAAAATTTGAACCTTTTGGTCACACTATCCCGCCTGACGTGATAAAACAACACTAACATGCCATATGCAATGGACGTGACAGTTTTATCCAGCCACATCAGTAAGAGCGGCGTGACTAAATAACGTTGCCACGCTAGCGAGACTGGCATGACCAAATAACGCTATCACACCAGCGAGACCGCCGTCATAGTATTGTTTTGCCAGCCAACTGGCTGGCATGGCTAAAGGTTTAGATCCGAAAATAAGGTTTTGAAAAGTTTATTTTTAAAATAAAAAGGTTCAAAAGTAAAAGAAAAAACACAATGGAGGGGGCCGGGGGAGGATCCTATTGTTGTTGCCGTCAATTCTTTTTTAAATATTACATATATACCCTCACAGTCACAACTCGGTAGTGGCACATTCGTTGCTCATGGATTCAAGGATCACCAGTCACTACGGCCGTGCCGCCGTGGCACGTACATATTTGAAGAAATCTAAAATATGGCCATCCGGTCGTGACGCCCATTGGAACACAGTCCACCAAATCTGCTTACCACCAACCCGAGTTCAATGGGAACGTGCATGATGTAGTGACCCATGAACTCAGTAATGGCCTCTCTCTCAAGTTGATGCCGGACACACATGTAATTCGTGGCCAAATCCTACTCAACCTGGAGCTAATTTATGCTTCAGTGTGCCCCAATAACCCAATTACCCGGCGCTATCCAATCACACACGCCCCCACCCACCCAAATACACTTTCCATGGTCGATCTGCAGGTTGGCCACAATCCCAGTATCCCACATTGCAAATCACGCGAGTACGTGGCACTTCACCTAACAATGTGCAATGCCTGGCCGCGGGCTATATATGTGTGTTAACCTCGACGACTTAATTGCCAGTTAATTAAGCTAGCTTGTGTCAGCTCACCAATTAAGTGACCACTGTACTAGCTCGAACGGGTGGCTAATTGTGTACTAATGATGCGGTTGATCATGACGGCGGAATCAGCAGCAGTGTCGGTCTTGTGGTTATGCACCATGGCAATCGTGTGTGCCGGTTTCCCTGCCAACGATGGGTCACTGCACCCCAACTTCTACGCGGCGACGTGCCCGCAGGCGGAGACCATCGTTCGCCAGGAGGTCACCCGGGCCCTCTACACCAACATCGGCTTCGCTGCCGGCCTCGTCCGCATGCACTTCCACGACTGCTTCGTCAGGGTACGCACGCACGCGAATTAATTCACCATGCAATGCATCATGCAAAATGGATTATCCATCCATGCATGCAGGGGTGCGACGGGTCGGTGCTGCTGGAGTCGACGTCGGACAACGTCGCGGAGAGGGACTCGCCGATCAACAACCCGAGCCTACGCGGCTTCGAGGTCATCGACGCCGCCAAGGCTCGGCTGGAGGCCGCCTGCCCAGGCGTCGTCTCCTGCGCCGACGTCCTCGCCTACGCCGCCAGGGACGGCGTCGCGCTCACCGGGGGCCCCCGCTACGACGTCCCGGGCGGCCGGAGGGACGGCACGGCGTCGCTCGAGCCGGAGGTGGCGGACAACATCCCGGCTCCGACGTTCACGCTGGACCAGCTCACCCAGAGCTTCGCCGCCAAGGGCCTCACACAGGAGGAGATGGTCACCCTGTCCGGCGCGCACACCGTCGGCCGCGCGCACTGCACGTCGTTCAGCGACCGCCTCTACAACTTCAGCGCGACGGGCGCCGCCGACCCCAGCGTCGACCCGGCGTTGCTGCCGCAGCTCCGCCGCGCGTGCCCGGCCGCGGGACCCGACGGCGCCGTGGACGCCGGCCTCGTCGTGCCCATGGAGCCCCGCACGCCCAACGGCTTCGACGCGCTCTACTACTGGGCCGTGCTACGCAACCGCGCCCTCTTCACCTCCGACCAGGCGCTGCTGTCCAGCCCGCCCACCGCCGCGCAGGTCAGGCAGACCGCGTACGGCGGGTACCCGTGGAAGCTCAAGTTCGCCGCCGCCATGGTGAAGATGGGGCAGATCGAGGTGCTCACCGGCGGCAGCGGCGAGATCAGGACCAAGTGCAGCGCCGTCAACTGAAAGATTCATCGTCTGCTCATCTCAGTTTGCTGTCTTGCTCTTGCTTGTGTGGAAGTAGAAATAATTTGTTGCGAACGAGCTAGCAAGCTCCTATCTCTGCTATGCCACTTTGCTTTAAGGTGTGTTTGAGAATAAGGGGATTGGGGAGATTGGGGAGATTGGGAAGATACGCAAAACGAGGTGAGCCATTAGCACATGATTAATTGAGTATTAACTATTTCAAACTTCAAAAATGGATTAATATGATTTTTTAAAGCAATTTTCCTATAGAAATTTTTTTATAAAAAACGCACCGTTTAGTAGTTTGGGAAGCGTGCGCGCGGAAAACGAGATGCTTTTCTCTCTCAATCCCCCAGATCGCCCGGAACGAACGAAGCCTTAGGCTGCGTTCGTTTGTGTGATATAGGGTGAGAAAACACCTCGTTTTCCGCGCACACGCTTCCCAAACTACTAAACGGTGCGTTTTTTGTAAAATTTTCTATAGTAAAGTTGCTTTAAAAAGTCATATTAATCCATTTTGAAATTTAAAATAGTTAATACTCAACTAATCATGCGCTAATGGCTCACCTCGTTTTACGTGTCTTTCCAATCTCCCCAATCTCCTTCTCCTCAAACACACCCTTAGTGGTCTGCTCTATCATTATGTGTGACGGCCTTAAAAAAAAAGAAGTGTGTGATGAAGTTTCCTACTTTGATAGGAAAAAGTACATCGAAGGTCCCTCAACTTGTTATCGAATTACAAAATCGTCCTCCAACCACAAAACCAGATACATGTCATCCCTCAACTTACAAAACCGGGCCACTCTAGGTCCCTAGGCAGTATTGACTCTGGTTGACCGCGGTTTTGTCCAATGTGGCAGTTGAGTCAGCGTGGACCCCACATGTCAGTGAAACACAACTTTTCCCCCCTTTCCCCTCTCTTCCCTTATCCTTTTCCCGTGCACGAGCGCTACCGACAGCGACGGGAGGCGGCGTTGAGAGCTCGCGCTGCGGGAGAGGAAGGGGCTGTGGCAGCAGGTGCACACCGTCATCGGCGCGGCGCGTGCGCTGGAGGCGGCACACAGCAAGCTTGTGGAGCAGGATTGTGGGCGACAGGAGGAGGCCGAGGGGAAGCTGTGGGCGACGGCGGAGGCGGCTGTGGTGGCGATGGCGGCGGCGCCCAGGGCGGAGGGGAAGCAGGTGCTCACATACCTTGTGCTCGCGTCGATGTGGTTGTCGTCGTTGCCGGCAAGGTGGGGGGGGGGTGTTAACAACCAAATTTGGTAACATCGGCATCGGAAAAGGAGATTAGATCGAAGTGGAGTCGGAGGCAGAGATCTATCCGAGAACAGAGCAAGAATCGGCTGGAGTCCAGATCGGTTACGATTAGGATCGGCTGGGTCTAAGTCGGACTAGGTAAGCCGATGCAGCCGATTACGACAGTACGACTTGGTGTATGACATCGGGTTGAATTGAGGTGCTTCAAGATGATTGCCGCACATGGATAGAGTCCTGAGAAGGCAATTGTATCTATTAATTAGGATGTTTTATGTAATTTCCTTAGAGATATGTTTGGGCAAAAGTCTGCCGCAAAGACTTATGGTATATTAGAGTTTGTTAGAGATAATGGTCGTGTCCGGTATGGACATATCTTGTAATTCTTGGGTATAAATAGACCCCGAGCCCTATGTAAAAAACAACAACACACGTTCAATACAATTTCGGCGCATCGCCACCTTTTTGCTTTAGTTTTATTTCAACGAGTTCCTGCTTTCGAGTTGAGCTGCATCGGTTTCGATCTTCAACAAGAGGTAAAACTTGTTATGACGGCTTGTGTTCTCGGGATTAGTGCTTCCATTTTTATGATACTCTAATCTTGTTTACGTAATTCGTCGTGTTATCATATATCATACATAATCTCTAACAATATCGCTACCTAACCTACAATCGGCTAACATCTGTTAGTAGAGGGCAGCCGATTAGGTTAGATCTTGTAGCGCCCGTTCCGTCGTGGCGCCTAGCGGGAAAACTATCTCTTAAAAACCTTAATTGCGAAATCTGTTTCTTTGCTTGTTGTCTAGTGTCCGTGCCATCTCAGATCTCAAATCCCCGATCTATCGTCAAGCTTAATCCCGAATCCAAAATCCGTCCCAAATCAAATTCCTCCGCAAAAGTCTATTTTGCCTCCCTCAGGTTCGATGGGCCGAATTCCTCTCGGCCCATCTCTCCCTCCCTCCCCATCTCTCTCTCTCTCTCTCTCTCTCTCTCTCTCTCTCGCTCTCACTCTCCCTCTCTCCCCGCTCTGCCCGAGCCACGCCGAGCGCCTCCCCCTCGCTCTCCCTCTCCCCGCCTCCATCCCCGCGAGCTCCCCGCCCGCGAAATCGGCCCCGCGCGCCGTTGCTTCGCGCACGCGCCCGCGTGGTCGCCACCCGTGCCGCGCCTGCGCCGTCTGCGCTGCCCGGCCCCGCTGCCCTGCCGCGTGCCCGAGCCGCGCCGCCCAAATCGCCGTGCCGCCCGTTGCTTCCCGCGCGCGCACGCCGTGGTGGCCGACCGCCTGGTTGCCGCCGCCGTCAGCCTCTGCCGCACCTGTCCGCGCCTGCCGTCCGTGTCGCCGCTCCGTTCCAAACCGCCCCCGCTGTCATCGCCGTCGTCATCGACTCGGCCCCGCCTCTCCCCGCGCGTGTTTCCAAGGAAAGGAGGCAGGGCTCTTCCTCATCGCCCTCTCTCCCTCGTTCGTTTCCCAAAGAGGCAAGGGGCAAGCCCCCCTTTCTCCCTTCCTTTTTCCTTTTCTCTTCCCCGCCGGCGTCATCCGCCTCTGTCGCCGTTTTGGCCGCGAGCACCGAGCGCTAGCTCGCGCCTTGACTGCCCAAGGTCGGTTTCCAAACCGACATTGCCGCCCTATAAACCCAGGCGCCCTCCCTTCCTTTTTCCCCTCCCAATCTTCCCCGTTTTTCGCCCGCGCCATTGCCGTCCCTCTCGCCGACCGCCGCCGTCGCGTGTGCCGGAGGAGCCGGTGCGCGCAAGGACACGGAAGGGGACTCCGGGCGCTCGTCTTCTTCCTCTTCCCCGGCCTGAGGCGAAGAGATCACTCCCGTGCCGTCGGCCCCTCGTCACTGCGCCCCATCACCCCGCACGGTAGTGCTTCTCTCCGTTCCCCCTTCTCGTTCCATCTCCTCCCCTTAGACTCGGGTAGTAGCACGAGTAGCCTCCCATAGCTAGCTAGCGCCGCCCCGACCGTTGCCGCTGCTCGCTGTGTGCTCGCCGCCGTCGCCGCCCGTGCTCCGTAGCGCCCGCTCGTCGCCGGCCTCGCTCGGCGTAGCTCCGCCCAATCCGACGCTAGCAACGGATTCCCGGAGTCGCGTAGATGCTTTAGCTTGCCCGAATCAGTCTCCCGTCGCGCCGTCGCCGTTTCCCCCTTCTCTCGCCGCCGGTTGCCACCGCCGCAATCCGCCGCCGTCGAGCATCCCCCGGCGAATCCGAGCCGTTGGCTCGTCTCCCCTCGTCCCGTGCAACCTCCCGGTGTGCTCGCTTTCGCCTGTATCGCCGTGGTTCGCTCCGCCGCTCGCCGCCGCCGTCCGCCGTCCGTTCCGACCGACGTCGTCGTCTACCTCCCGCCGGCCCGCGTGGCGGCTACGTAGGCGCCACGTCGGCGCCACCTCGGCCGCGACCGGGTCAAGCTGACCCCGGTCCGCCACTCCCTCCAGCCCTGCCTGCACATGCGGTCCACCGCGAGCCGTGAGGCTGCGCGTGGGCCCGCCGCACCGCGTCCTCCGCGAACCGCGCGCATGCGCCGTGCCTCCCCTCCCCAGACCCTAGCACGCCCCGCGTGCACCTCGCTCACGGTGAGCCAAGCCGCCGACAAGCGGGTCCTACCCTGGACCACGCGGGATGGACCCGGCCCACCGGCTTCCTCACTCCTCCCCGCCCGCGCGCATGCCTTGGGCCGCCTTCTCGGGCCGGCCGGCCCGTTAAGTTCGGCCGAGCCGCCCCCTTTCTCTCGGGCCGCGCCCTAGCCGCCCGAGGGAAGTCTAATTCCCCTCCCTCCTTCTTTTCTTTTCTTTTCTTTTCTTTTCGAAAAGGATTTAAATAAATCCTTTTTCCTTTAGACCAAAAATCCAATAATCTTAGAAATTTAATATCTTCCCAACCGTAAGTACGTTTTACTCCGTTCAACTTCCAAAATTCCTCAAATCCTAAGATCTACCTAATGGCATGCTTAGAGGTCAATAATAGGGCCTTATTTTCGCCGTTTGCTGTGTTGTCCCGTTTCGCGTGTAGTTTCGGAGCCCGAAGATCCGCAGTGCGAGGATTTCGAGGATCAAGCTCAAGATCTCGAGCAAAGCAAGTCACCTTTGATCATCTTGCACCTATAATTTAAATCTAAGTATTTCTTTTCCGCAAATATTGCATGAATAGGATTTACACAAGTAATTCGGCCGCGGCTTGCGAAACGGCCTGCCGGCCCCAATCCTAATTGCTGCAATTACCCTCCTTGAATTATTGAACACTTAAACCTCCTTGTTAACTGTTGTGCTTCGATGCACGGGCCTTCGGGTACGCGCATCAGAACACCCCCCCTCAAAATATAAAATATCCAACCATGGGTAAAACTTGGGTATTACAAAAGACTTGGAAAACCCGACACCTGGGTCGGTGCTTGCGAACTAAATGAATTTCCAAAATCGCGGACTGGGGAACGTACCGGGTATACAGTCTCCCGCTCTTGCACTTAAGGACCGTTTCCTTGGAATTTCATCCGAACATAAGACAAGTACGACCACATGGGTGGAATGGGACACCCCTGGCTGAGTAACTAGCTAATCGGGGGAGCCATGATGCCAAGAGACATGTGGATTCAACGGGGTGGTGTTGGGGAGAACCCCCGGGTTTCCTGGCACAGTATGGTCTGGGACCTAATCTGGTGTTGGTCTGGGACCCCTCTCGTTGGCATATGGTGAACCTGTGTCGGCTTTCGAAATGCCTTGTCATGAAAGCCCTTAGGTCACCAGACGTGGCCGTTCTACACGGGCTGGGTGATTCGGGTTAGTAATGTCGTGTGGGTAAAGTGTACCCTCTCTGCAGAGGTTATCAAACTGTTCGAACAGCCGTGCCCACAGTCATGGGTGGATGTGAGGTGATTCCTAGCGTAGTTTTGTTTGACTACTGCTTTGTGGAATTTGCTGATGTGGTTTGGGTTCGATGTTTGGAAAATCTGCGGCTGCTGGGATCAGCCAGGCCCGGGTGGCCGTTTGAAAGCTGTTGGCCGGATGCCAACCTTGATCAATTCAAAAGACTGATACCTTGTACATACTCCGGCCAGACGAGACACACTGTCCCATCCGTGTCGTTTGAGAAGCACTCACTTAGTTGTTTCAGAAAAGAGTTTAAATAAAATCAATTGCAAAAACAACAACCTTTCCTTGAAGCCTGCATTAAACACTTAATTCCCATGGCTTGCTGAGTACTCACCCTTGCTCTATATAAATATTCCCCCCCCAGTTGCTGAAGAAGATGAAGCGGATCCCGCTGACGAGGAGTTCTTCCAGGAGCAAGTCGGCTACAATGAGTTTTAGGGTTTCGGCCTAGTTCCCAAGTCGCGCCTGTGATGTTTGGTCCAAGTCTTGGCTTCCGCTTTCCCTTTTGTAATGCAGTTGTGAGCTCGGGATCTGTCCGCAGCCCAACATGACTGTACTCCTACTCTATAATAAAGAGACCGCCGTTGCTGTGATATTCTGTCTTCCTGTGATACCAGCACTGTTTCCTGGGACTGGTATCGATTAACAGGTTAATTTGGAGCGTCACGGGCTAGCTCCGCTCGGGGCTAGTTCGGGGCGTGACAGATCTTGATGTTGATTTAGATTATATAAGATATCCACTACTCTATGAAACTTCCAGCGGCTTGATTGTCTAGATATTGTTCTTCTTTTCATACTTAATGCTGCATTAGTTGAGTTTGATCTATTAAGTCGTGTTTAGAATACCAATCTCTAGCATGCCTTCTAGTTGCCGATTAGGGTAGTATCGGAGTTTCAGCCGATCTTATCTGATTTAACCATATTCGCTCTATATGCTTCAGTGACATGTTAAATCCGCCCTTTATGTCAAGATTTTATTGCATTTAAGTATATTAAGTTTTTGTTTGATATATTATATTTGTTTTAATATCCTGATATAGAGTAGTATCGGAGTATTAGTCGATACATGCTAGATCTATATGATCGGCTATGCTATAAACATATATAGTTCTGTTATTAGTATATATTTCGATCCAAGTGGTTTATACTGTCTCGGCATGGCGACCGATCTATCCCAATCACTTGATTTAAATATATATCGATATAAGAGCTATATATTGGTAATATCTACAGTCGATCGAGTAGGTTTAATTTTTTATTATCTATTTATAGTCGCCAATCGATTCACATATGACATCGGCTCAAAGATAAATGATATGTCATCGGCACTTAGCCGATCGGCTATCATTTATAGATTTAACCGCGATTTCTTTGTTTCTATTTCTTGTTGATTGCATGATCAAATCAACTGGCACGCTAACACACCCGAAGGCGAGCTTTGGACCTGCACTGGAGTTAAGCAGATCTCCCAGGCCTCGTGTTTTATGTCAACAGGGGGCGGAGGAGGAGAAGGGAAGGATGGAGGAAATTCGTCGCTGGCGAGGTGGGGGTGATGGTGGTGGAAAAATGCCGCGGGCGGAGGCCGTGGACGGCGACGTGGCGTGCCCGCGGCCGACCCCCTCCTCCACACCAGCTTCTCCCGCGGTGCCAGCTCTCTCCGCCGTGACCGCGGACGCAGTAGCGTCACAGTGTATTGCTTAGCAAGGAGACGGCAAGTGACGGAGAGGGAAGCGGGGAGGCCAGCGGCGAGTGATAGGGAGGGAGGAGACAGGGCCGGTGGGGTGGTACGGCGGCGGCTCCCAAGTGGCGGCGCGTGGGCTCAGTGCTGGCCGAGCTCGCCGACCTCCCCGCCCCCCTCGTGCGGGCGGCCCGGGGAGGGTGGGTCAACTCGGGGCAGTAGGGCGGCTAGCGATGGGCGGCGGGGTGGCATGGCGACACGGCGGCGGCGAGCCGGGCACAGCCACGCAGGACCTCGATGGTCGAAGCCGAAGCCACGAAAGGCCCGCACCGAGATCGACTCGACGACGCCGCCATCAGCCGTCGGCGATGGCGACGCGCGGCTGTGGCCGGCGGGGGAAGCGGACGAGCTGACACCGCCGACACGCCTCATGCCAGCTCTGTCGTGCCGCTGTTGTGCTACGTCCTCCCAAGCCTGTCTGACCCTAAGCTCGCCCGCGTGGCCTCTAGCTTCCTCTCGACCTCCGACTCCGCAAGAAGGGCAGCGTTGGCCCTCATCGTCGCCAGTGAGCTCGTAGGAACTCGAGGCATCTAGCGTTGGAGGCTTGCCTCGACCTCCCGGCGAGCCAAGCGGCGTCGCGTCGATGCGCCACCCAGCGTCGTAAGCAAGGGGGAAGGGGGAAAAGGGTGAAAAGGGTAGACTAAGTTGTTTCACTGACATGTGGGACCCACGTGGGTCCCACGTTGACTTAGCTGCCACGTCAGACAAAACCGGGGTTAAAATCACCCGAGGACCTAAAGTGATCCGGTTTTGTAAGTTGAGGGATGACGTATATCTGGTTTTGCGGTTGGGGATGATTTTGTAATCCGATGACAAGTTGAGGGACTTTCGATGTACTTTTTCCACTATGATATGGGTCTAAAAAGGCCCACGTAACAGTCACTAGGCCTAGTTAGGTTACCACGCCAAAGTGGGCCTGGATGGCCCAGCCCATGTTCGTATAACGTACTAGTCAACCAGCCCACGGCCCCTCTCCGTTTTGTCCTCTACGGCTCTACGCCACTACGTGCAGACTTACCTAGTTGTACATAACAATCTCGATCGTTTTGCTACGGCGTTGAGGCCGGAACGGAGCCGGTCGTCGCCGGAAAGAAACCTACTCGTAGCTGCTCTGGTTTCCTCCCTACGTTCGACCCGGAAACGAACACCACAAGATCAGAGAACCTTCCTCAATTATTAACCATCCTGTTCTTCACTGAAGGATGATCAGACGAAAAACTCGTAGAGTTTACATCGCGGATTGCACATGGCGCGTCCACTTCTTCCGATCACGTACCAGCACGCGGGTATCTTCATCAACATCTCAACCTTCTTCTTTTCTTTTTAACCTTTGCATCCGACTGACGATGTGCTAATGACGATGATCATCGATCATCAGCGGCGTCTTCCCCATTGGAGCAATGGATGAAGCGGTTCGAGGAGGCGGAGAGGCTCGTGGCCGACGTCGTCGAGAGGATCGCGGAGAGGGAGTCCGTCTCGCCGTCGCTGCCGCAGGAGCTGCAGCGGCGAACCGCCGAAATCAGGAGGAAAGTCGCGATTCTCGAGACCAGGCTTGACATGATGCAGGAAGACCTTTCTCAACTCCCAAACAAGCAACGCATGTAAGTAGTTAAGCAAGCCACACGTGATATTGCAATTGGACGATAGTATATTGATCAAATTGGCCTAAACGTAACGTTAATTTTGTTTGCTTAAACCTGGCAGAAGCCTGAAAGAGTTGAACAAGCTAGCAGCCAAGCACTCCACTCTGAGCTCCAAGGTGAAGGAGGTTGGCGCTCCGTTCACCCGGAAGCGCTTCTCCAATAGGTGAATTTGCAAGCTTATATACTCCACTAGTTTAACCGCTTGCAGCTTCAGCTGAGTTCCAACAAGTCTGAACTCTGAACTTTACGATGAAACACTTCTTCCTACTTGTGTCTTTCTGAATCTTTATTTAGGAGCGACCTGCTTGGACCGGACGACAACCACGCAAAGATCGATGTAAGCAGCATTGCCAATATGGACAACCGTGAGATCATTGAGTTGCAGAGGAACGTTATTAAAGGTAAGAGAGGATATACCTTTTTTCTTCCCTTCTCGTCTGGCGTCAGCACGTACGTGTGCTGCTCCATGTAATGTACAGGTGTTCAGTGACTGAACTTCTCTGAATTATGATGCAGAGCAAGACGACGAATTGGACAAGCTGGAGGAGACGATAGTCAGCACCAAGCACATTGCGCTGGCGATCAACGAAGAGTTGGATCTGCACACTAGGTTGATTGTAAGTATCTCAGTAGCTCCTATTTGTAAGCATCGTTTCTGAATTAACTTGGTTCCTATACTAATGCCTTTTACAAACGTTGCAGGATGACTTAGACGAGAAAACAGAAGAGACAAGCAACCAGCTTCAGGTGATCCACCGTGCCTGTTGTTTGATTCTACAGATGCCCGCATATATTTATCTCATCTTTCTAAGATAAGCTAGCTAACATGTCGTTTCGTGTTTGTATGTACAGCGTGCGCAGAAAAAGTTGAAATCTGTAACAACACGCATGAGGAAAAGCGCTTCCTGCTCATGCCTTCTCCTGTCGGTTATTGCAGTTGTAATTCTTGTAGCTCTATTATGGGCTCTCATCATGTACTAGTAATAGTGTCACAAAGACATCAAAAGAAGGCATCAACGCGTTATGAATACGCAGAAGATACATAACAGTGCTCTAGTCTGAATCCAACCAAACAGGTCTGCATTCTTCAGAAAAGGGGGTGAAATGATCTTGTAAGTTGTAAGTTGGTGGACTATTGTCACCATCACTCACATGCATTTTACAATCTTGGCCACATCCACATGTGCAGTACTTTACAAAACCTATAGGATGCCCTATCCCTGCAGGACGATCTCATTTGTGTTCCTATTTTACAGGTCAAAGAAACGTACGCCCCAGTGCCCCACTAGCATAAAAACTATCACACTTGTGCTGCCCTTCACCGATCCCTGCCCTATGACATGCCCTGCAAAGGGCAAAACTACCTCGATCAGCACCATTTGCACGCTTAACCACATGATGGCTGCCATTTTTATATCCAAGCCTCTAGAACTCCATGCACGTTCGGTTCTGTCCCTAGCACATGAGACAACTAGCCGGATGCCTTGACCGATCTTGAAGCAACTGCAGTTTTTAATCCTCGCAGGCACTGTCCCAGTTTAAAATCCCTCATCCGAGTAATCTCCTATCCCTTGGTAACAATGACAAATTAATTTACAACGCCACTCGTTTAGTGGTTCAGTGGTCACTACTACAATGGCACCAAACAACAGATGGTCAATCGCAAGTCGCAGCCAGGGTTAAACCTATCAGTTTAGCCGATTTGATCGGTGCTCACCGAAATACCGAAATTTCTGAAATTTTGAGCAAAATTTAGTTGAATTTGAATAAATATTACCAAAATTCATGGAAAAATTAAAAAATTTCGGCCGAAATAATATCGTATCGGAGGGGTCTGAAATGACCGAAATTTCCAACCCTGGTCGCAGCAGCTGTTTTACCGGCTAGTTTTTTGCACACATCGCACCAAATATCCCAAAGCCCTGCCTGCCTGAAAATCTTGGCCATGTTTCTAGCTACAGGCCTTCACATGGCTGCCTGAAAGCTTGTCTGCGCATGCCTGTCAGTGTCAGTGAATATTACTAGTAGTAGAAGCAGTTGATAAGAACATGTAGACTGGTTAGTCCACTGCAGTGACCAATGTTCATTTACTAGTTATTGGGGTTCTTCTTCAGATCATTTGCTAGCCTCCTAGCTATAAATTTGTCCACATTGTTCAGATCTTTGACGCATTATTCAGCTGCCTATAGTAGTAGCTAGCTAGGTGAGATCGAGGGGCAATGGAGTTGGTGGTGGCGGTAGCAGGTGCAGTAGTCGTGGCACTGAGCTTGTGCATTGGAGGTGTGCAAGGTCAGCTCCAGGTAGGGTTCTACGACCAATCGTGCCCCCAGGCCGAAGTGATTGTGAGAGACGAGGTCGGCAAGGCCGTGAGCGCCAACGTTGGCCTCGCCGCCGGCCTTGTCCGGATGCACTTCCATGACTGCTTCGTCAAGGTCGATCCCAATAAACCAATCTCTAATTCGATCTCTCCTTTATATTGTTCAATTCATTCCGGGGAAATGGGATCAATCAGCTGATCGAGATGGTTGATCGATGAACTGTTTTTAGGGATGTGACGCGTCGGTTTTGCTGGATTCGACGGCGAACAGCACGGCGGAGAAGGACGCGATACCGAACAAGAGCCTGAGGGGGTTCGAGGTGGTGGACAGCGCCAAGCGGCGGCTGGAGAGCGCGTGCAAGGGGGTGGTCTCCTGCGCGGACATACTCGCCTTCGCCGCCAGAGACAGCGTCGTGCTGGTACGCAGCTAGCTCTTTCACGGTGGCTGCGAATTTGTTTTTAACTTGCATACGGTCGGTGGTGGACGGCAGGCCGGCGGCACCCCGTACCGCGTTCCGGCCGGGAGGAGGGACGGCAACACCTCCGTGGCGTCCGACGCGATGGCCAACCTGCCCCGTCCCACCTCAGATGTGGCCCAACTCACACAAAGTTTCGCCACTCATGGGCTTTCCCAGGACGACATGGTCATCCTTTCAGGTACAGGTCCATATAAAAGCCCACATAGGTCAACTTGTTAATGACAGCCCACTATTCAATTCAGCCCAACTTCTGGAATTCTCATAAGGCCCAGGCGAATAGGCAATAAATTAAGAACTTATTAGCCCCACAAATAATCTAATCTAAAATTCGCTGTTAGTTTGAACTCAAGATATTAGAATGGTACTTAAGTCACTATAAATATTAGGCTACATGCATATCCACCACTCTTCTTCTCGAAAAGATTTATTTTTTTCTTTTTTTTAACAAACAATATTTTTCTCTCTGTGTTTTTTTTTAATCAGGGGCGCACACGATAGGGGTGGCGCATTGCAGCTCGTTCAGCTCGAGGCTGTACGGGTACAACTCCAGCACGGGGCAGGACCCGGCGCTGAACGCGGCGATGGCGTCGCGGCTGTCGCGGAGTTGCCCGCAGGGGAGCGCCAACACGGTGGCCATGGACGACGGCAGCGAGAACACGTTCGACACCAGCTACTACCAGAACCTCCTCGCCGGCCGCGGCGTCCTCGCCTCCGACCAGACGCTCACCGCCGACAACGCCACCGCCGCGCTCGTGGCGCAGAACGCCTACAACATGTACCTCTTCGCCACCAAGTTCGGCCAGGCCATGGTCAAGATGGGCGCCATCCAGGTGCTCACCGGCAGCGACGGCCAGATCCGCACAAACTGCAGGGTTGCAAACTGAGCTAGGCCTCGCTTGCTGAACAACAACATTTTTGAAGCCTCTACTTGTTCCTATCATCAGAGTTTTTGTTCTTCTTTTGTCTCTATGCTTTAATTTGTCAAACGGCAAAAATTCAATGGAATTACGCATTGGTTTTGAACTAAATTATCCAACCATTACGCGTGAGATATTCATTGCTCTTTGGAATTTGGACAGTACAGTGAGGCACGAGAGATTAGCAGACATGCAAGCTCACAGGTTCTCGAAGCTCTGCTAAAAAAATCCTGCGAAGCCATGGCGCGTTGCCTGGAAATACAGGGGAAAAAAGTGTTTTTTATTTAGCTGGTGAATGCATGGATCGGCGCCACACGCTGCGTACACACTTTTAGTCATGTGCCAAGCAAAATTGAAAGCCAACCTAACAATCTAATCTAGCAATCGCAATTTTTTATGTTGAACCGGACACTGAATATTGATAAGGCTGAGACTTTCTACGAACAATTGTTAGTTATTGGCCGTAAAGTTGATGCTGGCGAAAAGAGGCAACAGGCCTGCAAATGCAATGCAACCAAAGCAGAGCCAACTTTGATATCAAGATGGAAGAACAAACAAAAGGAGGACTTAGTGGTTCGCCCGAGTACAAGACGAGTCTAAGGAAATAATACTTCTGAATCCTGATACCGGTATTAATGAAGTATGGTAGTGATCATGCAAGCAATTCGATTAGTACTGTTACTGATTAAGCAAACTGCTGAAAAAGATATTTCTTCTACAGTGCTGGTACTGATTTATGCAACCTCACTTTATCATGGCTTCTCAAATTGAGGTCAAAGCGACAGCAGTCCATGCTGGATTGATTGGTAGGCTATAAATTGCCAGGTTTCTTTGCGCGATTTATGCATCCAGCTTCTACCAAACACGACTACCTGCATGGCTGCATCTGCATGCATGTGCAGGCAGTACCACCCCTACTCATCCATCTGGTAGGTAGCAGTTAACAGAGGGGATTTATCCCTTTTTTTTCCAGGTAGATAAACACGTTTCTGAATGCTAAAGAAGCTTGAACTCGAATTATTCTGACAGTGAAGTTTTGTCCTGAAACAGCCTAAGGAATGTTCCTACTTTCTTCAGTTATTATTGGTTAATTACTGCATGCAACTTCACCCAAATCTGCAGGGCCCTGCGTTTATACTTCATGATGTACTATGATTCCTTTGGGTAAAGCTAACCGAACAGATCCAAACGTAGTGTCACACCATTAAGCTTTAATGGTGCGAGTGAAGAAAAGGGTTTCAGGCTAAGGTAGCTTCTCCTTAACGTGGAAGCCATCGTGCAAGAATCTGGCTTTGAGTTGTCTGTCGTCTGCACTGCCCTAACGAACCGCACTATACCAGTACAGTTAGTCCTTTTTCTCTTGTTAACCACTGCCAGAAAACCTGATAGCGATCATGCATGTGGAAGCAAGGAGGACCCAGTTTGTAAGTAGGAGTAGCACGCATGAGTCAAACGAAGCAATCGATTAGGATGATGCCTGTGGATTCCGTGAAGTGTAACTAGCTGGCAACGAAGAGCTTGGGCAGCAGCATTCCGCGTAGCTGACGCTATTTTGCGTACCGGATGCAACTAATGGGAGAGATGACAATAATAGTAGAACACTACAAACTGAAGCAACCCCAACATTTTTAGTACAAACCGACCACGCTACGGTGCGTTCCGGAGGACACGGTTGGCTTGTTCTGAAGTGTGATATAGCGAAATTTATAGGAGTACTTAAGTTTGGATCAGGAGTGTGCTGGAAGCAGGGCACATCCAGCCATTTCTTCCAGACCGTCAGTTTCACATCCCAATCGTTAAATGTTCAGGTAATAAAGTCGCAAAATTCACAAGCTCAAAACAGCAGACGTGATTCCGAGGGACCTCTGTCTTGAAACATCCATTGTCCCATCATTTACTTTAGCAATAATCGCATGCTGATGTAGTACTACTACTCCAGGGCCCAGATTTGCATGGGGACAACTGACAAGGTGAGAACAGAGAAGAAAGTTCCAAGCTACAGAAGAAGAAAAGAAAACAAATAAGAGTCGTTCTCATCATCTCAAATGCCAGCTCAGCCCAACATGCACCCTGCCCGCGGTTTTCCTGTAACATAACATGTGTTCTGCTTGACTGCTTGTTGCTACTGCAGTGCACTGCCTATCAATATCCAGTTCAAATGCTCAATTACCCTCGGGTTAGTATTTACAGGAGAATGCAGATGAAGACCAAAAGCCTGGAGCATTTTTTACAGTCCAAAAATCAAAGTTGTTTCTTTGCAATGCCTTTCTATCGCCTCCACTCAATCATGCTCGCCCCCAAAAGGGCACCACCCCAATTGGCACCATGCATCTCGCTCCCCCACTTCACCCCCCACATGTCGTCTCTCGCTCTCACGCCTATAAAACCACCTCGAGTCCCACCACCTCATCACCATCCTTAACCGAGAAGCATAGCTCGCTTCCACGCAAGATTAAAAGCTGCCCCTCTTGCTGCTGCAGACTGCAGTCCTGCAAGATCAGCGCCTGAAGCAAGAAGCGAAGAATCAAACGAGAGCCTAGCAGCGTAGCAGATCGATCGATCGATCGATATTATGGAGGCGCGAGGAAGCAGAGGAATGCGGCTGTGGCTCCTGTCCGTGGCGGTGATGGCCATGGCGATGGCGACGAGGTCGCAGGCGCAGCTGCAGGTCGGGTACTACGACACGCTGTGCCCGGCGGCGGAGATCATCGTGCAGGAGGAGGTCAGCAAGGCGGTGTCCGGGAACCCCGGCATGGCCGCCGGCCTCGTCCGTCTCCACTTCCACGACTGCTTCGTCAGGGTCAGTACAGTAACTAATAGTAACTTATTACACCACCAAATTCGGTTCCTCCATTAATGAGACCACGTATACTAGCTTGTTGGGGATGTGAAGCTAATTAAGCTAGAGATAGATGCCTTTGCAAAGTTGCAACTGCATATATGCGGCGGCTGCACATACAAGTGTTTTTTTGAGTGATCCAATGGTTGCAACGTGATGTCACTGTGGGGATGTGCTTCGCTTGCATATGGAGCCTCTGCATCTCTTTTGCCGCGCACCCTGCTCTGCTTCGTCCGTTTCTCGCGTATGTAGTACTGTACTTAATTTTACTGCGAGGATGATAAGCCGATCGAGGTAGGGGAATAATGCACGCACGGTAGATTGCTGCACCGTGTCTGCACCTGCACGGAACGATGGGATACTCTGGAACCATGACAGCTAGAAATCGCTCGTTCATGTTTGCCATCTGGCATCCCCTGTTTTATCCTAGCATCCAAAACATTAGTACAGTGCTACAGTCAATCAATCAAGCACGTAGTACCTGTGTTACCTAATTTACTGCATTCGTTTTGACATGTGGTGCACGTAATAGCGAGACACCTGAATTCCTTGTGGATGCAGGGGTGCGACGCGTCGGTGCTGCTGGACTCGACGCAGGGGAACAGGGCGGAGAAGGACGCGCCCCCGAACACGAGCCTCCGCGGCTTCGAGGTCATCGACAGCGCCAAGTCCCGCCTCGAGACGGCCTGCTTCGGCGTCGTCTCCTGCGCCGACGTCCTCGCCTTCGCCGCCCGGGACGCCCTCGCGCTGGTACGTACGTTTTCTTCTGCTCCATTGAATTACCAGCTGCTTCCTCCGGCGCATCACTGCTAGTGCTTGCTACTTGCCCGTGCGGGTACAAGTCGGGGGGGATCACAACGCGCACGGCGCACGGTTGATTCGTCGGTGGATTGGGTGATTTGCGAGTGATAGATAGATAGATCGAGCCTGGAATATAAAACCGGTCGGGCCCTACACGGATTGCCCCAACTTTCGTTCTATCTTTCTCCAAAAGCTGACGCTGAAAGTAGTTGTACTCCGACTGGCAGTAGGAACTTACTCTGTTCTTCTCCTTTCCGATCGATGCTGCCGGCCCGACCCGGCGTAGAATGGGAGGTGATTCATTGCCGATGCTTTTCTGGAAGCAACGCACCACGGCGGCATCACGCACGATATGTGCCGATGCCGCGATGCGACTGCAGGAGAAGCAGAGGCCGCTCTTTTTCTTTTGTTTTGGTTGGTTCACGTATAATGAGCCCGTTGTCTGCACGGACCCACCGGTCGGTGTCCGTATCAGCGTCACATGGCCGTGTCGCCCTCACACAGGTTAAGGAAAAGAGAGCCTTTGCTTTCCAAAATCGATCATCTTTTGGGGATGCGCCAAAAGAATGGAGATTAAGTAATCCAATCTGATCGTGGGATCATGGCACTTGGCACACTAATAAAGTTCACTTTAACCCTCTGGGGGTGATGAACAGTTATTTTAGGAGGCTGGTGTGATGGGCCAACTCCAATCATTCCTAATCTAGCTTTGCTCCGATCTCCATGCAAACAAATCGTAAACTGTATCGCCATGCAATTCAGTGTAGAAGGAAGTTGAGACATCGATCGGAGCAAAATTATGGAGTACTAGTACTAGTACGTTCGTATGATTATATTGATTCAGTTGGACTAAATTTGATTATTACTGACGCCACAACGGTAAAGTAGGAGCATTACGACATGATATATACGGTCAGCAGGTTTAGAACCATTTTTTGTGTTACATGTGTTTTTTAAATGAACATTACTGATCATACGACCGTTGCAGTTTCATATTGTTCAAGTTGACATATTCTGAACAAGTAGTCAAAGATTCCTCACTAGTGGTAAGTCAATGGAGTATACAGTATATACCACCACGTCAATAATTCACAACCGACCAAATGCATGTATTTTCCAAATAGACACTAGCATATTTATCAATTTATGAACTCCAAATGGTGCTCTGTTAAGACCGTTATACTGAAACTTCAGCTGGAGCTGGAAACAACACATAGATGATGCGTATGCGTGTGCATAACCTTTCACATCATCACATGATGAAAAAGACATATACCTGCAAAAAGCAACGCTAGTGAGTAGTGACGACTCCAGCCCTCTCCGGTATCAATCAGGATTACATTAGGGGATAACCAAAGAGGAAATTAAATACCGAAAGCTACGAGGAGGGGTTTAATTCTGGGGGCAGGATGAGCAAGTGGGACGGATAGTTTACGTGGATTCGTCTCACGCCCATGTGGCCGGCACGCCCATCGGTCCACAACACCACATGCCATGGATCGATCGGTTTAGTTTGTCCCCATTCCCTCCCGTTGTGCGGCCCATGCGTCCCCCCGCCGCTTCACCACCAACCCAATCAACCATGTGCCGCGTCTAACTAACTCGAGAACACAAACCACTGTACGGTTTCCATCCCTAATCTACATGTTTCCGTGTATCACATGGATATAGGTACACCGCTGATGCACGAGCCAAGATGACAGCAGCTAAAATTATACTTTTAGTACAGTTTTTGAGAAACAGAGTAACAATTGGCGTGCGTGTGTACGTGCAGGTGGGAGGGAACGCGTACCAGGTGCCGGGGGGGAGGAGAGACGGCAACGTGTCGGTGGCGCAGGAGACGAACGGGAACCTGCCGCCGCCGTCGGCGAACGTGGCGCAGCTGAACCAGATGTTCGGCGCCAAGGGGCTCACCCAGGCGGAAATGGTGGCACTGTCGGGCGCGCACACCATCGGCGTGTCGCACTGCAGCTCCTTCAGCAACCGCCTCTACTCGTCGGGCCCCAACGCCGGGCAGGACCCCAGCATGGACCCCAGCTACGTCGCCGCGCTGACGACGCAGTGCCCGCAGCAGCAGGGGCAGCCCGCGGCGGGGATGGTGCCCATGGACGCCGTCACGCCCAACGCCTTTGACACCAACTACTACGCCGCCATTGTCGCTAACCGGGGATTGCTCAGCTCCGACCAGGCGCTCCTCGCCGACCAGACCACCGCCGCGCAGGTCGTCGGCTACACCAACAACCCGGACTCGTTCCAGACCGACTTCGCCGCCGCCATGGTCAAGATGGGCTCCATCGGCGTGCTCACCGGCAACGCCGGCACCATCAGGACAAACTGCAGGGTGGCCAGCTGATCGATCGACCTAAGCATGATGTATAGCTCGTGGCAGGCTTGTGTGAGTTGGGATTGTGATGAGATTAAATTGAAAATTGTACGTACGACGACGTAGCTAGCTAGATAGAGTGTTGTAAACTTATTTGTTTGATCATTCATTTGGTCTCTCTGTATTACGTGCTAGCTAGCTCAATTAGCTTGCTCGTGCGTCCCTTCTCCCCTCTTCCCGTAGATTATTTTACTCTGCACTCTGTACTTCTCTGTGACATTATAGTGACAATATAGTTTTATTGTTCCATCTTTTAACCTCTGCATGTACATGCTGCGAATAGAAAGCCAGAATAAGAAACCTATTTAAGCTCCAACTTTTAAATTTAGTTTCATGAGTTGGGTCTAAAGTGGAGTTATGGAGCAGGTTAAACCCGACTCCATCTCTCTAATTCATCCTATGAGAGCACTTTACTCATCTCCATTCTCATTTCAGATGGAGTTGAAACTGTTTGGTTAGGCTATCTAGGAGATCTGGAGCTGGAGCTGTGACCTTAAGGGTCTGTTTGGCACAGCTCCAACTCCAGCTCCACCTTAGCTTAGCCAAACAGTTTCCGCTCCACCAAAAATGGAGCAGAGATAGGTGGAGCTCTCTCACAAAATGAACTAGAGAGGTGGAGCTAGGTTTAGGCAGCTTCACAACTCCACTACAGACCCAACTCCTGAAGCTAAATTTAGAAGTTTGAGCTCTACTAAACAGGCCTTAACTATCCACTGGCAAGTGGCAACCGCAGGGAGACATACGGGCATACATACGGCCTTGAGGCTTCAACCACGGGCCAATAGTGCTCGCTCGTGGATTCTTCTGTTAGTGTGGGCCTTTGGCGCGACATCTGTGGGCTTTGATTGTTACAGCCTGAGAAGGCCTCTACTATATGGCCCATAACAACGTGGCAAAATCTGGGCTTACGTTGAGCCCGAGCCTGCATGTCACATGGGCTACACACTGACGTGGGCTATGATTGTGGCGCTGGGCTGCAAAAATCCCCTTCCTCTTCAGCAGCCGACGCACGCAGAGATCGATCTCGTGAGCAGCGCCAGCGCATGAAGAGCAAGAAGACATCTCCCAAAGAAAAGATCATCGAACGAAGAGGAACTCAAGCAGGCAGAGGCAGGCGCAGAGAATCGAAGCAGCGGCAGCAGCAGGCCGGCTCGTCGGCCAGTCGGGCGGCAGCGTCAGCAGCAGCAGCATGCATGCGCCACGAGTTAAAAGGGGAATCTCCCACACCCACTACTCCTCACTCCCTGCCTGCCTGCAGCGTGCTGCGCTGCATATATGGCGAGAACGAAAAGCGCGTGTACTGGTCCAGGCTCCCCAAGAGCTAGCATATGCTGCTACTACTACCACTGCATTGCTGTGGCTACTGTTGCAGCGTGTCGCAGACTAGCAGTAGCACAGTGCCCCGCCATAATGCCCCGTGCCGATCTCCGTGACGCGTGCGCGCCCGTGCCGATGCCGATCTGCAATGTGTAGATAAAGATTTGTCGATTCGTCGTCGTCCTGAGATCAGGTAACAATGTAACATGCATGCTGCCGAGTACTACAAATATCTCTCGCAAGTCGCAATACAATTCTCATGCAGCTGGCCGGTGAAATGTCGCGTCGGCCGCCATCGTTGCAGACGTCCTAACTCCGTCCGCACAGGTATGGTACGGTGTACTGTACGAGAGATACGTACCCACAGGCGTACAGTGCCCCGCCCGCGGCTGCTTATTTTCGTGGCACAGTAGTATAGTTGGCTAGTCGCTACTGGAGTACTACACATTTCGCATGAGTGATCCAGAGATTTTTCAGAATAAATTTATTGTAAGGACGTTGTTGAAAGCTTAAGTCTAACAGTTGTGCTGGTGACACCACCAGATATTACCAAAAAAGAATAATTATTATATTGAGTTTTGATGGAATTTAAAGGCATGCATGCATAGTCGTCGAAGATTCTATATGCGCATGCCGGCCGTTTCTTTGCATCCTGATATCTCCTGTGTAGTTGTCAAAAAAGCAAAAGATAAATAGCTGCATGATGTGAACGGTATACAGTACTGTTCAGGTCAGGAAACATCTCCACACAAGGAACGCGCGCGATGACGGTAAGAGCAAGTTTAATAGCATAGCCAACTACTACCTCCAAATTATATATAGTCAATCTAATAACTAATTCGTACAATAGTTAACTATAAATATATACTACATCATTAATAATTGGTTCCACTTGTCATACACATATAACGTTTTAAAGTCCGTGCTGCTGTTGGCTATAAATTTGTAGCCTGTTTCTTTTCTCTCTTCTCTCTTATCTCCCCACATAAACTTGTAGCCGACTTATAGTCTATTATTGTACTTGGTCTAAATATATGCCCACCTGCTAGCTACAACCAGAAATTCAATGAAACCATACTATTAACTTTTGGACTTGAACGAGCAAAAGTATACCGGTATATAGTAGCTGACGAAATCCATCGACCGAACTGTACGTGTGTACATATTGGCCTCTACGACAAGTCGTGATCCAGACATTTTCATGCATGGCTGAAAATGTATGGCTATAAACGATTGCGTTTCTCTCTTCTCCACCATACAAGCACCAATCATACACATGCATATATAACTTGTTGAATCGATCACATCTGATCGAGATAAGCGAGTGGGGAGAGGGTCAGATGGACTTCGATTCTATTGTATAGAGAGTATCGAACAGATTAGATATATAGCTGCTGGGATGTTGATGACACGGAGACATCTCCCCCCTGCAGGAGATCCAGCTTATTTGCTAGCTCTCCCTCTGTTGACGCCAGTGGCCTGAGCTGATCAGCTGAAAGCTGCGTGTGTGGAAGCCATGCGTGCTGTAATTCCAACACCTACATCTGCAACAGTGTGCATGCGTGCTGCATATATGCTACTGAATTTTTTTCGTTTTCCTTTCACACGCTGCAGTTCGAGTCGCCATCGCTTCTTTTTGACCGGGCCTAACTCCATATCATCCATGCGTGCATAATAATGGAGGACTATAGTTTTTCCACTGGAATCATCTGGACCAATGTATTCAGGGTTCGCGATGATCCTTTTTCAGTTCGGACATGCGCTAACGGACAGTAAGCTGCATCATCATATGCATGCATGGTCGATCTACTAATCTGGCGATAAAGTGATTACATTCGATTCCGTGTTCTGGATGCTCCTAAGAGCAAGACTAATAATACAGCCGACTTGTTGGGTATAAGGTTCTTTGTAGCCTTCTTTCAGCTCACCCATATAATTTAGTTAGCTCTTTGCAATTAATATATGACTCACTTGTCTCTCTCACACAGTTTCTTGGTTCTTGTGTCTAAGCCGACTGTAAGTTTACAGCCCACTTCTTCTCTCTCTCATCTCTTTTTTCTTCCACTTCAGCATTTAGTCAGTTTATAGCCTACTATTATATTTGCTCTCAGAGGTTTCAAATTAATTTGGCTTGCGTGTTATCTGAGAACTTCGAGTGGTCGTTCATGGCTCATGTGGCGGCAGAAAACGGAGGGTTTCGCTGTCCTACACTAGTAGGGGTAGCTGGAACCTAAGCTTCCATATCCTGATCGATCCATCGGCTTCTCTGTGCTATCTTTTCTGGCCATTTGTTCCTATCTTTTCGATGGGACGTCGCTGTAAAGGAAGACTCGGATCTGGTTCGAAGTTTACTACAGTAACCAGCTTCAGGCAGGCATGGGGATTGGGGAGAGCTAGTAGATGTATGGCCGCCATCCCATCCAGGTGACGTGTCTGCAACTGCATCTAGGAGTAGGCCTCATCTTCTTTAGGCCCTGCGCTGCATGCATTTCGTGTCATTATATTTATGACCGCACACCATGCCACAAAAGGTGCCAGTAGGAGACTACTCTAGCTAAGGGTAGGTACAATAGCTGACTATAATCCAACTATAAACATATTTTAAAAAGATAAAAGATGAGAGAGAAGAGCAGCGGGCTACAGATTTGTAGCCCAGCTGCAGCACAGACTACAAGACACAGTGTGAGCATGACATGTGAGACCAGGTATTAATAGTGTAGTATATGTTTATGTGAGATCATTTTGTGTCCAATTTGTATCGTATTCATTGACGTGTTCTACATTTGTATGCCTCAATTGGTTGCGAAGCAGATGCAAGGATGCATCAAATCACTACAGTGCATGGGGAGATTGGGGACAAGGAGCGATGGGGAATGGATGGGCCAGAGAGCATTGCGTCGAGACCAGGAGGAGAACGCAGCGGTGAGGTGGATGGAGGCGTCACTGCCAACCAAGGGTTCGATGTGAGTTCCTCCTTTCCCCTCCGCTTTGTCCTCTGGTCATGCTCTGCAAGACGGATAATGGTGCAGTACGCGATGACGGTGAGCAACGTGGTGGTCCCGGTCCGGTGACGAGCTGCTTGAGCTGATGCATCGAGCTGGCATTTTTTTTATTCATTGACTATATATAGATGCTGGTTCTTAACTAATAACCGGCACCTACAACCTTTATAGGTGCCGATTTTGGAACTGGCACCTATACGGTTGAGAATAGGTGCCCCCAATTGGTTCTGGATAGGAATCTGACACCTATAGCCAATTCGCATCAATAGGGCGTCCTGAGTGATTTTACAATATTTTCATACAGATCATCAATTCGATTCTCGTTGGGATCGAACAATTAATTTCTTATGTTCAAAAAATGTCCAGACGCACTGTCAAACGCTGGGAGTCTAGGACCAATGGCACGAGCTACGTGGACTTGGTGGTGACAACATGCCGAGCTGCCAAGCACCGTGCGTGAGGCTATGTCACTAGCGTCGTCAAGCTGCCAGGGACACCCATTTTGCAAATAAATGAACATGTACGAACACCTCTTTCGCCCTTGGGATGGGAAGTAGTGCACAAGCTAGCACCACTACAAAATACCTAATAGGTACCGGTTCATAGATGTCGGTTTATTTAAAAGTACGGGTGACATGGCACGAGAACAGCTGTGGAATGACAGGGTGCAGGAGCTAGCCAGCAGTCGGTCACATGAGGGCGGGTCCTACTAACATACACCAGAGCAGCTCATGCATGCGCTACTTGATCAGCCACGGAGCATCCAACCGCGCTTCATGTACACGACTGGTCGCGCGGGAGACGTATCACGAGCGAAACCCACATTTTTAAGCACGGATAAAACAACAATAATGAATGAGCTAAACCAATGATTTCTCCTTGCATGAATCCCATGATGGTGTCTCACTTCTCATCCAGCAATCAAAGGATCAGGAGAT